AGCAATGGATCAGTTCATTGAAGTCGGGATGGATTCCGCATTTGGTTCCCACTGTAAGGCGACTGAAGAGCCACTGACTGTTGGGACGGTTGGGTCGCAAACACTGACACCGTTTGCGATGATTTGAGTGACAATTACACGGACTGTCGATAATGAGGTCATTGATGATGTGATTGAGGAATACATTGCCGCCGGTGTTGTGGATCTGAAGGAATACCATCACATCATTGGATGTCATGTCAAACATATCGCTTCTGGCGATCACTTCATTGGGTTCGTCGTCGGACGTGTCGTCCCTTTCGGTGCCCCAGAGGCGAGGATTCACTAAATACTGGGATTTCAATCGCACGAGTGGTCCGTATCGGTGACTCCGGCGGAAGGGTTCGTGTGTCCACTCCTTCACGTCATAGTAATTGCATAAATAGATCACAAATGAGATGACAATCAGTGAACACAACAGAAACACATAGAAAGTGATGTTTTTGTTGTGCAATGAATGCACGAGTCGTTTGTCATTTGAAGCGATAATTAACTCATATTTTTGACTCATTTTCCACACATTTCTCACATTTCACTCATTCATGCATTCAATCATTGATTCATTTGTTTATATAATGCTTAACACAATGAATGCAATCATTTTAATCACAAATCAATACTAAACTCCAATCAAAACATTCAATCAAATCATTGAATACTGTCTCAAAGGGTCATTCATTCAATACGTTTGCGAGCACTCTGTCTATGAGTTCACTGTTTTCGTAGTCACAGTGAATGCCAATTGCTTTCAATGGAGAGTCCGTTCACTTAAACGCCTCTTATTATGACATCATTGGTGGCAATGACTGCGACTGTCGTGCAGTCTATGTGTGGGAGAGAGAGACAGAGAGAGAGTGCGAGTGATTGGAGAGCCAGTCATTGGACACCACAACTGATCCACACGTCGTCCACCACTTGTGTCTACCTCTAAGTCATCAGTGTTTGTCATTTGCATGTGATTTGGGTTTCAAAGCACTTGTCATACGATAGACTCGAAGACTGTACTCATCGACAGAAGTGTCAGACAATCATTCAGTGATCCACTCAATGGATGACGACTTGGATGACTACGAGTTGTTTTGGTCGACAATCGTATCGCACTTCCAGCTGTTGTCGAAGTCTGTGTTGAATTGGAGTGAAATTAGTGTTAATTTGATGACAATCCGCGAGTGGATCCACCACTTGGTCTCCATAGCCATGAGACCGCAGACATTGGCCGCCCTCTCACTCATACTGCTATTGGCACTCATTTGCCACACATTCGAGTATTGGATCAAATCGGTGATCAAAGCGACCGTCAATGTGACCAAACGGGTCAACATTGGACTCGCTCTCGTGTCCACCGCTTTCACCACTTTATTGCCAGACGTTGACTGCATTACTCGTATCGCAGACAATGTGGTCGAAGAATACAAAGACAATTGTGTCGGTGTTTACGCCCTCCAGGGTAGGCGTCCTAAGATGGAGGACAAGTTCACGTATGTCAACGACACCACCCATACCGGCATCGAGTACTGGGCCGTCTTCGATGGACACGGAGGCGACGTAAGTGTTATGGCCGATCAGTTAGGTAGTGGTAGTGGTAGTGCTAGTGTTAGGTGAAGTACATGTGTTATATGGTATGCCTTGTGGTGTCAAATGTGGGATCAGATGAGCTTAAAGTGCTTTAGTCGTAACAAAAGTGATGCACTTGTCATACACAGGTATGTCATGTCAGTCATCATCACTTCCCATTTGAACCACAAAAGGATCAAATTATCATAAGTATTGGTGTCTATCAGGTCTCATGTGAGCGTATATTCAATTACAGCTTTTATGCACTTTATGTCCTGTTTTGCAATGGTTTTCATTTGAAACATTTCCATTCATTGTATGTTTGAGTTAAATACAATTTTATGAATTGTTTTATTTGTTTAATATTCATAAAATGTTGAAAATGATTATCAGTAATTTGCAAACACTTGATTCACAAACGGTTAATTTGATTAGCAGTAGTAGTAGTAATAGTTGATAACCTTGTACCGGTATTCAGACAATTGAAGTTGACAATTTTCCAGTTACTGTATTCATAAAGTTTTATACTTTTAATAATTCTAATCTTTTTTACACAAAACTTATATTTCATTGACAATTGCCTTATAGAACGCCGCTATCTTTGTTGAGTCCAAGCTATACAATGCGATCCACAAGAGAGTGGAAGCGCTTATAACTAAAGATAGTGTTCATAATCATTGTGAGAAGAGTCCCAAAGACTTCTGTTCCAGTGATCACTCGGACAGTGGTCTCCACAATGGTCTCCACAATGACAACAAATGCACAGCTAATGCAAAGTCAAATACAAACGATTCTTCGTTCGAGTCCTTGTCTGTGGCCTCACTCTCCAAGATTGTGACCGAAGAAGTGCTTGAAATTGACAGACAATTAATAATAGAAAGTAAAGAGAGAGGGGACGTGTCGGGCAGTACTGCACTCATTGCACTCCGAATTGTAGCCCAAAATAAGCTGATTGTGGCCAATGTGGGCGACTCGAGAGGTGTCATCTGCGACTCGAAGGGCTCAGCGATTCCGCTCTCTTTTGATCATAAGCCACAACAGGTATGCATTGAATGGACAGTTGTTTAGTGAATGAAATGATTACTAAATCGAGTGAAATGCAGATAAAAGAGCACAAACGGATCAAAGAGGCCGGAGGTTTCATTAAGTTCAACGGCGTCTGGAGAGTGGCCGGCATTTTGGCCACTTCTCGAGCGATGGGTGACTATCCCCTGAAGGACACGAATCTGGTGATCGCCGAACCGGACATTCTCACGTTCCACTTGAATGACATTCAGCCGAAGTTCATGATTCTGGCGAGTGATGGACTGTGGGATGCCTTCAGTAACGAGGATGCGGTCGCTTTCGCCAAAGAGTGTCTCATTCGAGTCAAACAAAGCAATACAACCACTCATACGGCCCACGAAGTGGCCAAATGTCTGGTCCTCGAGTCATACAAACGCGGGTCAGTCGACAACATAACCGTCATTTTGGTTATATTTGACACCAATTTCGACGACATATCCATTTCCTAAACAATTTTAAAAGCCGTCCAAATATGAGTCAATTAATTAAAGTCAATATTTGCCGCAAATTTGAACTTTTCTATTAATTATTTCATTCATTGTCTTTGAGTGTTATTTATTTAATTTCATTACAATTATTAGCTTTATTTGCATTCGTTGTCAATCACTCCTTACTCGTCAATTAAATGTAAACTCATTTTTGGTTTATTTGTTTGTTTCATAGTTTATATGAATTTTTATTAATTTATTATAAATATCGGAAACAATTTTTAGATTTATTCCGCGAAAATGATTTTTATTCCAAACAATTTGAAAATATAACAAAAAATATTGATAACAAATAAACAAAATGCATAATAAACGAGTCATTTATTGGTTCTTCATTTAAAACTTAACAGTTGTGCCCCTTTTGGCACATTATCTCCCGGTTTATACAGAAGTTCATTCACCACTGCGTCCGCATTGGCTTTGATAACGTACTCCATTTTCATTGCTATCATTACCACAAGACTATCACCACTTTTGACACTTTGATTCTCAGAAACTAGAATTTTATCGATAACTCCGGGCATTGGAGCGCATACTGTGCGCGAGTCCGACACAGAATCAACAGTTTGTGTCTTTAAATAGTCGGGAATTTTGGTTTCAAAAGTGTGTGATCCGTCTCTTGTGAATATGGAAACCATGTTATCTGTGATCAGAACTCTTTGTTTGCTTCGAATACCATTGATCTCAACACTTAATTCATTATCTTTTGGTTCATATTCTGCACGAATATTGTCGAAGATATCGTTTCCTGTTTTCACGTTAAATGTTTGGTTTGAATTGAAATCAACTCTAATTTCATGAGAATTTTGGTTAGAATCGAGTAAATCAAAGAACCGAAAGACTGGTATTTCGTGAAGACGTTTGTCATCGCAGATATTGAACGGAGAGAACGGTTCTGAAGAAACATTATTCCTATGAATTTGAGTCGATTTCTCATTGAGTATGAGAGCGATGACCGCTGAACACAACACTTCAGATGAGGTGTCTGTGGTTGGGAACAGATCTTTGTGATGGTCTGCAATGAACTCCGTGTAGACGTTTCCGCTCTCGAATTCCGAGTGATTGGAAAGTCTCAACAAAAAGTCAACATTTGTTTTGAGACCAACGATATTGTATTGTATTAACGATTGGCGCAGTTTTCTCAGAGCAGTCTCTCTATTGTGTCCCCAAACCACCAGTTTTGCAATCATAGGGTCGTAGTGGACGGACACCTCATCGCCAGATCTAACACCAGTCTCGATGCGCACATCAGATGACGGAACGGGAGTTTCCAAACGAGTGAGAGGTCCGGCGCCGGGCATGAAGTTGTTTTCAGGATCTTCCGCATAGATTCTCGCTTCAAATGAGTGTCCGTTTAGTTTCAAATCACTTTGTTTTAGTGGTAACTCCTGTCCGGCGGCGACCCTAAGCTGCCACTCAACCAAATCAGTTCCGGATATCATTTCAGTGACCGGATGTTCCACTTGTAGACGAGTATTCATTTCCATGAAATAGAATTTGGAGTCTTTTGGATCAAATATGAACTCAACAGTTCCGGCGCCCAAATAATTGACAGCTTTGGCAGCCTTGACGGCAGCCGTTCCCAAGTCGTGTCTAATCTGTTCCGTGATGTGCGGCGCCGGCGCCTCCTCTATGATCTTCTGATGTCTTCGTTGGACAGAACAGTCTCTTTCAAACAGATAAACAAAATTCCCAAACGAATCGCCGAAGACCTGCACCTCAATGTGTCTCGGATTGGGAACAAACTTTTCGATAAGCATTGCCTGATCTCCAAACGACTTCATGGCTTCCCTTCGGGCGGACTCTAACTCTTGTATGAAATCCTTTTCTTGTAAAGCAATTCTCATGCCTTTCCCTCCGCCACCCCTCACCGCTTTGATCATAACAGGAAAACCTATTTTGATGGCCTCTTCTAACAAATACTTGTCGTCCTGATTGTCGCCGTGATATCCGGGAACTACTGGAACGCCTGCCGCAGACATTATGGTTTTGGAGGTCGACTTAATGCCCATATCTCTGATGGCATCGGCTTTTGGACCAATGAATATGATGTTATGATTGGCACACATTTGGGCGAACTCCACATTTTCAGACAGAAAGCCATACCCGGGATGTATGGCACAGGCATTGGAAGCGATCGCCACATCTATTATCTTCTGTTTGTCTAAATAGCTCTGAGAGGAAGGCGAGGGTCCGATGCAATAGCTTTGGTCAGCCATTCGGGTGTGCATTGAGTTGCAGTCGGCGTCCGAATAGACGGCAATCGTCTCAATACCTAATCTTTTGGCGCTTTTCATCACTCGTATCGCTATTTCTCCGCGATTTGCGATTAAAACCCGATTCAAAGGTTTGGTTTTGAGATTTTGGTGACCACTCATCGACACCCATCTCACCCCGGCGTTCAGTTGTCTGTAAATAATCATCATTTGTATGAAACAATCAAATTACAAGTTTATATTTACTTTGAAATGGCATTCAATCGATGATATTTGCAATAAATGCTATTCATTGTGGAGGTAATGACTTTTAATTGGGAATTAAGTAATTTAACTAATGATAAGAGATTTATGTTTTACAAACAAATTACATAAGAAAACAAATCATTAATTATATAATAATTGATAAAATAGTTTAAATTGTTGTGTTTGAGTGGAAATGCAAACTTTGAATGCATTTATAAAAGTTCTAATGAATCGAGGAATGAGTGAAATGTAAACCTGTTATCAAATGTTGGGAAAGACCTTCACTTCAATGCCAAATCATTTTTGTATCCATTCATTGTACCAGAAGTCACATTTGCTAACACTTTTAAGAGGTATTTAATGGCAAACAATTCAAATTAAACACTCAGTTCATCATAAACTACACGATTATACAAAACCATCCATAAGTTTATTGACATGATTTCATTTACAATACATAATATGAAATAAATATTTGGAGCTTACAATCATTTTTAGAAAATGAATAAAAGTATAAACTGTATAAAAATGAAAAACTTGAGTTACATTCATAAATGAATTATAAATTATATTACAGTTAATAATAAATGACTACAAATTGTAATAATTCTTCAGATCACTGCCAATGAAGTTAATAATACTTTCGGATCTTTTTCTTCCGTTTCTTACGAACTGTTCCATTGTTTAAGTCGTCTTCACTGTTGTCCGGAAACTGAGCTCTAAATTGATAATCATTTCAATATTATTACCGCATTCACCGTAATTTTGTTTAAAACAATGTATACTTCGATGAATCGATTTCATAATCTCTGGACATTCGGAATATATGGCACTCGTATTTATTGCAAGAATTCTGTTTACATGTCACCACAATTGTGTCCAAATCCATCACAAGTGAATAATCCGAGTTCTGTTCAGTGAATTCAGTTGTTAATTAAATGATAGTAAACGACAGTAAATCATATAAACAATACCTCGTCGAGTGATAGGCCTAACGGAAACTCATGTAAAGTATCTCCCGTTTTGTTGTCACATATACTCAAGAGTCCGTTTTTCTTTTTATTGGACTGAGTGTTGATTCCTAGCATTAAATACATCTCAATTTCATTTTCAAAATCTGTGGCAAGAATTTGGCGCTAATTTATGAATAAAATCAAAATTAACATCAATTCGCACAAAACTCTTACTATGAGAGCAAACCTCAGATTTTTCGGCGTAACAAATGTTTTTGGAGGCCTCTCTGCAACCGTTAACTCTGGCAGTGAATGACTCCCCATTCGGGGTCTTATCGCTGATCGCAAACTTCAGTTCAAACTGTTGTCTAACCAAAGACTCATTCATTTGACCCGAGATTTTGTAAAACTTGATATAATTTCCCGATTCGTATATAAGTCTTCCGCTGTCATCCGAATGAAAGGTTAAAATGTCGGCGACTGTCGTATCGTTGGGCACATCAAAGCGACCGCTTTCTGCCAATTGATTATTGGCAACATTTCTCACTTCATACACACCGGATGTATTGGACGGGTTGGTCACGTAATGCCACGGATAGCCTCCGAAATGTAGATTCTGTTCACTACACTTCACTTCAAACAAAAGTGTTGGAACTGATGTCATCTGATGATTAGTGGTAATGCAGTCATTGGGTTTAAAAGTCAATATAAAATATGGCACAACTGTAGTTGAATTACCTTATAATTAAGAGGTAACCCAAAGGGGTATTGACCCACTTTTCCCCCCAAGTCATCACATTTCATGTCAAGATTCGCTTCAAACAAACGATTCTTTGGCTCAAGAATTTCCGGAAGACTATAAATGCGAATCTTAGCGTTCTTTTGGTAACCGATTCCTACGATTAGAAGTCCTTCCGATATGTTGGCGCTGTTCACCTCCTTCCCAAAGATCTGCAAACCAATTGAAATGTCATTTAGTTTTAAAAGCAATCAAAGGGCAGATCAGTGACTGTGTGATGAGATGACTGACCGCCTGATCCACTTCGAAGAGTCCAATGAACCTAATGGGCATAATCTTGAAGATAGCCATCGCCATAACCACTCTATGCTTCTGCTTATTAGGCGGTCTCGAGGTATTGATGTTAGGGAAGAGCGTCGACTGCAACACAATGGTCTCCCCCTGTGTTTCCCAATCGACGTGACGGAAGCTATACCTCTGAACAGTTCCCAAATAGATTTCTTGTAATACTTTTCCGCTTACATTATCGTATCGAATGAGCCAATTGTCTGAAGTGAGGGCTAAGAAGTACGGTCTGTAGTCCTCGCGAGGAAGTGGAGTACAGCTCTATACCAATCATTACATTACTGTTAATACAAAGCATTTTAATGCAAATGAAAGGGAGTCATACAACGGGTCCGGTGTGCATAAAGACGTCTTCAAATCTCTTAATTTTCGTATTCTTCTGGAGTCTATACAAAGTCGACGGCAAACTGTCTTTTCCGCACCTGAAGAATAGGACACCATTAGTGACAATTGAACGCAACATAGGATGGTATGAGTGCTCACAGCGCCAAACAATGGGTATAATTATTGAAATATATTCGTGAACTGAAACGACAATCAATGAAACCATTAGTCAATTGTCTCAACAATTCATAACAAATACTGAATGACTGACTCGTCGTAAACGATGGGTTGTTTGGATGTCTCGGACCATATCCTCTCAAATTTGGTGCTTTTCTACACATTTAACAAACCATTCATTTAATGACAACTCAATTCATATGAGATATAAATGACTATAAGTTTGCATACATTTCTGATCAATGAGTGCATGATTTCCAGTGATTGTCGATAAGGAGATCGGATTAAACCGATTTGGCTTTCGGTCAACGCTTTCACGACATTTAGCTTTCGCTTCATCTCTCAGTCTCTCTTCGAACTGACCGTCAATTCAATCACTCTTTCACTCAAACTATTAATTGTTTTCTAATTATTTTAATTCTTCTGATTTACTCAATTGTTACTCAAGTAACTGAGTGTTCGACAGTTTTATATGTGAGTAAAGTGACGTTAATTAGACAGCAAGTAAATTTGCTCAATAAGTATTTATTTTATATTATATTAGCATTATACTGTTTGAAAATAAGTTAATTAAATGAACACATGATTGAAATGAATGAACAAATCATAGAAACAGTGATTCAATTGAATGATGTTTTCACACAAAGCTTACGAGTTGTAAAACTCAGAGATTTAAACATATTTTACAAAAACATTATTCAATGCATAGTTAGGGCCCTATATATAAGCCATGCATTGAAAGCAATGCATAAAACGGTATTTTAATTGAGAAATGCGGCGTTTTTTGGATATTTTTGTAATTGGAGTCAAATTCACATAAGAGGTACGAATAGAAGGGTTGGTGTTGTCTATGAAAACACATTTACGCTATAATTGCCAACAATTGTTACTATAGTATAGTATAATAAGGGGACAAATGATTGGATTTGACATCACTTGCTATGTGATGAGACCAACGCGTGTTTGAAATGCAGTTGTGTTTTGGTTTGAAAATAGGGTTGAATTGAAATGTTTTGATAATTATTACAACAATTAGTCGACAATTAAGTGAAGACTGAGGGGAGAGATGAGTGAAGAAGTGGTGAACAAGTCGTGTGTGGGATGTGGTCTTCAGGCCTTCTCCCTCTTGTGTCCCAATTGTATAAAATTAGGAAAAACTGATTCCTATTTCTGCTCTCAAGACTGCTTTAAGACTAATTGGACTCAACATAAGATCATTCACAAGACATTAATCAATGGCAACAAATCCAACGATAAGTACAATCCGTGGCCTAACTATGAGTTCACCGGAAGCTTAAGACCGGTTTACCCGCTTTCGGCCAAACGGATGGTCGCCGACCACATCTCGCGCCCGGACTATGCGGACCACCCTTTGGGCGAATCCAAGTGCGAACAAGACATCAAAGGGTCGACACATATCAAGGTGTTAACCGACGAGGAGATAGAGGGCATGCGAGTGGTGGGCCGTCTGGCGCGAGAGGTGCTGGACGTGGCCTACAGTGCCATCGGTGTCGGTGTGACCACCGATGAAGTGGATCGACTCGTTCACGAGGCAACCATTGAGAGGGACTGCTATCCATCGCCACTCAATTACTACAACTTCCCGAAGTCGTGCTGTACTTCAGTGAACGAAGTCATCTGTCACGGCATCCCTGATCTGAGACCTCTGGAGGAGGGCGACCTCTGCAATGTCGACATCACTGTCTTTCACAGAGGATTTCACGGAGATCTCAACGAAACCTTCTTTGTCGGCAAAGTGGCCGAAGAGAGCAAACGATTGGTGACCGTCACCTGGGAATCGCTTCAGAAAGTAATCCCTTTTCCACTCATTTGTCGCTCTTTTGATTAATTTATTCTTGTGTTTCAATACAACTAAAGGCAATTGAAATTATAAAACCGGGGGAACGGTATCGAGAGATCGGGAATGTTATTCAAAAACACGTTCAAAGCAACGGATACTCAGTGGTTAAGAGCTATTGCGGACACGGTATGAATGATTGCTTTTAAAACTTGTTGTCATAAACTATCACTTATACTGTAATATACTGACTGTATGTATGACTTATACTGTATGGCAGGCATTCACCGACTGTTCCATACGGCGCCTCAAGTGCCACACTATGCGAAGAACAAAGCGGTCGGAGTGATGAAAGCGGGCCATACGTTCACTATAGAGCCCATGATATCAGAGGGCACGTGGAGGGACGAGTGCTGGCCCGACGACTGGACGGCTGTCACCAAAGATGGCAAGAGATCGGCTCAGTTTGAACAGACGTTTCTGGTGACTGACACCGGGTGTGAAATACTTACCCGAGCCGCGAGAGTGTTGCCAAACGGAATAAAATACCTAATCGCAAAATCAACAGTAAACTTTACTAAAACACAAAATGAACTTCACTTAACTTTTATTTTAATACTCTTATTGAGTAAGTTTTTAATTATTGTATACTATTACCGTGGTACATTGAAAGTACCTTGTGGCATTATGTCCACGGTTTATTAAGTATAAAGTCATGTTTAAGTTTTGTTATAAGAAAATAAATTTATATTAATGTAAAGTTATTTAAATTATTATTAAATTATAATGTAAGTTTTATTATTAATGATTTGATTTTCAAATCTTAAGATTACATTCAATTTGTTTCACTAAATTTATATAACCGATGGCTGCAAACAATTGAATAAATCATATCCAGAATCGATTAATAGCTCCCAAATACCAGCTTTCGTGGACAGATGTGTGAATAAAAGTGAATAATTTAAATAATATAAAAATTTGTCAACAAAAACGTGTAAAAAACAAGATTAAAGGTTTGTCTATAAATAGTTGGATAATAGCTGCACTCAAAACGCAAATCAGTTTTTAAAACTCTAACAAAAGGTTAATTTAAATTAAACAAAAAATGCATTTTAGATATAATCATAAAAATTGTGATTCATTGATATTCAAATTAAATTTGTTCTCTAAATGAACTAAAAATAGATATATTTATCAAAAAAATGTGATTCAGATTATTATGAATTTGAATAAATGTATTCAAAGTGAGAATCAAATGACTGATGAATAAATTCATTATTAAAATTATTAGGGCTTTCGATATTCAATATTATGGCTATTCTTGGGTTCGCTCCCAAAAACAGTGATACAGTAATAGAAGTGTCGTTTTCACTGGACATGTGTTGAGATCTCATGAATCAAACATTTAGTAAATTATTTAATCTTCTATTAAAACATTTAAATAGTAAACAAATGGTGTAATAGTTGTAATGATTGGATGGAATGTGAAAATAATGACAATTAATAGCAATTGTTGAGGAAATGGTGTAAACGAGAGGCCATTCAAATAGTTGTCCGACTCATGTGTCAAGTGTTCAATGAAATCGAAACATTGTTTTTAAAAAATTGTTGGAAATCTAAAAAAATATTAGTTTCAGTAAAATGTGCTCAAAATTGGTACACAAATCACAAACTAATCGTCGATTCATTCCATAGTCTGATCTCTTAATCACATAATTTGTAGTCAAATAAGTGATGATAAAGAGCACAAAAAGCTGTCACTCGAAGTGTGTCTTAAGGCAAATGGCAGTCGAGAGAGAAATAAATATAAAAACGTTTAAACGCATCCGTTATACGAAAGTTGCGATCCCTGTCATGGGAGACGTGCGGAGAAGGGAGGAGAAGAAGCCCGGCATGAGAGGCTACTTTCTCGGCAGAAGCGGCTTGAAGCTACTCAGCGGGAGAGGCATCAGCCGGTAGCTTAGGCACAGTGAGAGACGGACTACATCTGATATGTTCAGAGACTGTCGACTCCCCCTATGGTGTGGACCTCCAGCTCCACCCAAAGGCTTATTGTATTCATTAAAGCCTCCCTCTTCGTAGTCCTCCCGTCCCTGTGCGGCCTCTTTCTCGTGAACCGAGTACTTTCCGCCACGATTTCTCTTCACAATACACACCAATACGACTAATACTATGATGAGGGCAATGGCGCACATCATGCCTATAAACCACGGCGCGAAGTTCGCCAAGTGAGCCGTACTATCAGCTCCCGGACCTCCTATAAAGCAAAACCATTTCATTAGTTGGGAATTAATCAAGATCAATCCATTATTAGTGTTTGTTATGTGAGTGTAAGCGAAATGTCCTCAAATAATGGGTTAAATTCGTTAATCGATTAGTCATTGCGATTACCAATCAATCAGATCAGGCAATAGAGAAATATTAAGAAATGCTTCAGAATTAAGACATTTCTTAATGAATAATAGCTACTGAAGTCCCAAAGCCTCAGATGAGTTACAGATTTAAATGTTTTATATAAGACGCACGAGTAATGATACCACTGGACGAGATCTCCTGTGTCTCACTGGGGGTCTCGAACTGTCCGTCGACGGCCACCACTCGGATCTCATACGTCTTGTCCTCTTCTAACCCTCTGATGGGCACAATCAGTGAATCCTGATTCTCGTCTTTAGGAGTGTTAAGGAATCGTTCGCTTCCTTTAAATCAAATAATTATTAGAAAACACACGAAATGAGTATTAATACGAAATGTGATGACAAACCTTTGAGTCTGTACTGGACATAGAAATAACTGCCCGGCTTTTTGCCACTTCCTGTCGTGGGATTCCACTGGACTCTGAGCTCATCCTTACCGTCGGGAGACTTTCGGTGATACCATTCAAAAGACGGTTTGTCAGGATATTACATTATCGTATCGAATGAGCCAATTGTCTGAAGTGAGGGCTAAGAAGTACGGTCTGTAGTCCTCGCGAGGAAGTGGAGTACAGCTCTATACCAATCATTACATTACTGTTAATACAAAGCATTTCAATGCAAATGAAAGGGAGTCATACAACGGGTCCGGTGTGCATAAAGACGTCTTCAAATCTCTTAATTTTCGTATTCTTCTGAAGTCTATACAAAGTCGACGGCAAACTGTCTTTTCCGCACCTGAAGAATAGGACACCATTAGTGACAATTGAACGCAACATAGGATGGTATGAGTGCTCACAGCGCCAGACAATGGGTATAATTATTGAAATATATTCGTGAACTGAAACGACAATCAATGAAACCATTAGTCAATTGTCTCAACAATTCATAACAAACACTGAATGACTGACTCGTCGTAAACGATGGGTTGTTTGGATGTCTCGGACCATATCCTCTCAAATTTGGTGCTTTTCTAAACATTTAACAAACCATTCATTTAATTACAACTCAATTCATATGAGATATAAATGACTATAAGTTTGCATACATTTCTGATCAATGAGTGCATGATTTCTAGTGATTGTCGATAAGGAGATCGGATTAAACCGATTTGGCTTTCGGTCAACGCTTTCACGACATTTAGCTTTCGCTTCATCTCTGAGTCTCCGGAGGACTGACCGTCAATTCAATCACTCTTTCACTCAAACTATTAATTGTTTTCTAATTATTTTAATTGAAGACTAAATGAGTTAACAATGAGTTCATTGACTCACAAGCTGTCAAAATATACACTCATTTCACTGCAATTAATCTGTCGTTCATTTAAACGAGTTATTCATAAATAAAATATAATATAATCGTAA